CTAATTTTCGGAAACTCCCATTTGCTTCCCTAGACTGCAGGTCTTGAAGGGCCAGGGTGGAGAGTGGAGAGCGGCCACGAGAGACAGCGAGAGTCGACCAGGAGGATGCCGAAATCCTCTCGTGAAGCAGCTGCTCATCGCTATGGTGAAAAAGGATCGCGAGAAGATTCCAAGAGTGGTGGAGAAAACTCTGACGGTTGTCGGGATCCTTACAGTCTGGCAGTGTCCCCTCTTAGAACCGTTCAGGTACGGCCATTCTTCCGGAGATTTCATAGGTGTTGTGCGAATGGTACGGCCGAGCCTTAGGCACCATCGCATCGTGGCGGCCTGCGCTCTGATCCCAAAGCCCCGACTGACGACAAGACTACCTACAAGAGTCACATGAGTTTAGGGTCTTGGATATTATACAATAAAAAGTATCGTATAGTATAGTATAGCATACCAGCAGCATAGCATAATCTAGTGTCGTTTCAACGGGAGAAGGAGGTCGCAGTCTGCAGATCTCCTGCACTTCAGGTCCGATATGCTTCGAACCAAGCGGCGCTTCGCTTGTTTGTGCGGGTCAAGCACGTTGCTATAGCCGTGTGTTAGCATCAGCGGAGGGTAGTCCCTGTGACGCGGGGACAAACCTTATGGACTTAGTGCAGCCTGATCGTCGAAAGCTGGCCATGTGCTATGTTGCAGTCAACCTGGGTTAGAGAGTTGGTAGGACTCCCTCGTGATTGGAAAGAGTTACCCGGGGTAGCTTGGAGCCCATGGCCGCCGCTGGAAAACCTGCATGGCTTTTCAGGGGCTTTAAAGCTGAAACCTCTGAAGAAGATGGCAATACCTGCCATCCTCCACCAAACGGCTCCGCGCGACGAGGGACGCTGGGATCCGCGCTGGGGGCGGTGCTACGAGAGTTGGGGCCGAGTGTGCAGCGGGGTTCGGCGCATCCTCTGGGACGACGAGGGCTTGCGGGCACTGGTTCAGGAGGCCTTCCCAGAGCACCTCCCGACCTACGATTCGTACGAGCACCAGATTCAGCGAGTAGACTTCGCGCGGGCAGCAATGCTCTTTATCCACGGTGGCCTTTACGCAGACATGGATGTCGAGGCTCTCGACAATCCCTTTCCGCACCTTCCAGCTGGTGTAAGCATCGTGGCAAGCCCGTATGCCGCTCGGTGAACTGGCAAGCTTTCGTCAGCATGCTGAGGGTTGCAGGACTGCAGGGTCGGTGTATTCCTGAGCCTCCCTGAATAGGCCACATCGTCAGCTCTTGCCACTCCCAGCTGTGCCTTGCCTGCAGAGGTTGAGAACGAGAAGCATCAGAACTCCCTTATGGCTTCACCAGCAGGGCATCCATTCTGGCGGGCAGTGGCTGCAGAGGCACAGTCATGTTCCCGTGTTGTAGGGTTGTGATGTTTCTAGGCTTGCCGCATCAAGCGTTGTGTGTGCATTTCTGTGGTTTTGGCATATACAGCAGCCAGTGTATGACGCAGCTGTAATGTGTGGAGTCTAGCACAGATTGTTGAGGAGCAGCTTCAAGCCTTAGTGCTGTAGCACGAGCGGAGTGGGGTTCTATCCTAGACCATCGCTGCGCGTCTGCATACGGAGAAGGATCCCCCCACTTGCCTTTTGCCACCTGCCACTATGGAGTCAGGACTGCTAGGAACGCTGAGGTGCCAGCTCGGACGCCTGGGCCCCTGAGCAGCGCTGTAATCCTCTCGAGCCTGAAGCCCAAGGCGGTGCGGCGCCGCGCTGCGCCGAAGCTGTACCGGACGACCTGGCAGCTGACCGGACCCCAACTCCTAGATGCCGTGGCCGCTCGGATTCACATCGGGCCCGCCTTGCATTGAGAGTGCTGAGGAAGCTGATCTGCAAACTTGTTTTCCAGGTCGAAAGATACGGGAGCGATGTGCACGCCGGCGACTGAGGAGCTTCAACATGGCCAAAAACCTCACGTCAGGGAACGCTCTCGCTTTGCATAGCTCGTCAGCTAGCCCATGCTCAGAGGAGCTGAAACGTCCTCTTCAGGTCCTGCCCGCAGACGTGTTCAATCCCTCCATGAGCTCGCCTTCTTTCCATGTCCCTTGGGCCTTAGGTACTTGGAGGTTCATGGGTAGTTATAAGTGGGGTTATAAATAGGGTACCTGTACTTATAACCCATATTAAGGGGACTTATAACTCCACTTATAGCTACATGAACCTCCAAGTAGGCTTTTTTGAGCTTGCATGCACATGATTGAGCCGTGTGAAGGGGCTCCAAGAGCAGCCCAGGCACCTCAAGTCATCACGCGGCATCTTTGCACCAGCGTTTGGACCCACGACATGGATAACCTGGGGATGGCCTTGTACCAGGCAGGCCCGCAATATGCCGCAACATACAATAATATACCATAAATTCAATCTACGACAACATACTACAACATACTATAACATACTATTATAACATACAATTATAACATGTTTGAATATACAATAATATACTACAACATCAAGTGCCCGGCCGAGCCCCGAAATCTCATTGCAGGCAGCTCGTGCGAGCAATGCCGCAGCCGCGCGAAGCCTGGCTGGGCTTCGAGATACTGTGTGTTCTAGGCAGCTTGCAAACGTCCCCAACAAAGAATAGAACCAAACATGGCCATGGGCTTTCTATGTTATGTCATGCCCGAAACCATGTGTCGCAAAATTCATACGCTTCACTTCGGAAACCCGTAGAACACGGCTAGCCCTTGCATTCAGCTCTTCGGAGGACAGGTCGAAAGGTCATAGTCAGGAAGACTTGTGTCATAGATCATATATAATAAACGGTACTGTAGAGTGAACTACGAAATAGAATAGTTGGAATCGGCGAAGCTGCAGTGCACTGAAATCTTTTGTAGGATGACCGACGGAATGTTCCCCGGAACAAAACTGAAGGCCGGCAGCCGAACCCCAAACCCCAAACCGGAAACCCCAAACCCCAAACCCAAATCCCAAACGCCAAACCCCAAACCCGAAACCCAAAGCCCAAACCTCAAACCCCAAACCCGAAATCCGAAATCCGAAATCCGAAACCCAAACCCTAAACTCCCTCTCGTGGCTGCAGGCTCAGAGGGCAGCAGACGCCAAGGCAGACCTCGACTGCCGCGGGGGACCTATGACAGGATGGTTCACGAGACACGTAAAAGCATGTTCTTATTCTCATTGCCTGTGAATAAGCAAACCAAAAACGCATATGGAAATGTGACATGTGTGTATGTATGTGTACATACCCATACACATACAGTATATGTATACATACACGTATACGAATACATATATATATATACACATACATACACATGCACATCGACATGTACATATACAGAAAAATGCCTGCATACATACACTGTTACACACACATTTATAATCTATATATATATATATATATGTATATATATATATATATCTATATATATATAGATATACATATACATATAGATATAGATATACATATACATATACATATACATATACATATACATATACATATACATATACATATACATACATATTCTGCGCCCACGTCAGAGCCGACCTTGATCTTCCAGGTGACTATGCCGGCTTGACGCCTTTGCATCATGCTGCGTGCGGGCTCCAAGAACACGTCGAGCAGAATGGCGGTTTCGAGTCGTTGTGAAGACAGGTAGAGCAGCCAAGCTTCTACGGGGTGCAATATTCAGAGCGCCCGAACGGGTCCATGCAACCTCGCCAGCCGATCCTCGCCCAACCCACACACAAGTCGTGGCCTCCTCTTCAGGTCACAGTTTCAAGGCAGTAAAGGCAGCAGCCAGACATGGCTAGCCTCATCCGGAGCCCCGATCCACTCCGTCCCTGCTCCTGAATCCCTAAACCCTAAATCCTAAACCCTAAACCCTAAACCCAGGCTCTTTGCGAGAGAAAGGGGCCACTGCACTAAAAAAAAAAAACCCTAAACCCTAAACCCAGCAGGATCAAGGGCGATGTTGCCATGGTCACTGCCTCAGACTCCCGCTCGGCTTGGCTCGAAGCTCGCTTTGAGTAATTTGGGCTTTGCTAAGCTGTACTACTTATACTTATAGGGTTTAGGGTTTAGGGTTTGGGGTTTGGGGTTTAGGGTTTAGGGTTTGGGGTTTAGGGTTTAGGGTTTAGGGTATACTATATGGGAGTTTCCGATAATAAGGGGTTTAGGGTTTAGGGTTTAGGGTTTATATGGGAGTTTCCGATAAGAAGGGGTACCTTATTTTGGGGTCCTTATATTAAGGATCCTATTATTTAGGGTACTATATTAGGGTCCCCTATTTTTGGAAACTCTCATATAATCATTGTTCTAGCATACAGGTTCAGGGCTTGTCGTCGTGACAGGCTTCAGGCAGTGTGCAGCGGGCACAGGCTCGGACGTGGCATCGGAGCAGGGTGTTTGGCTGCTGATTTCTTTGGCTTTTAGCCCGAAGGAAGGAATCTGATCAAGTTCGAGACTCGAGACTGAAGTCCTTCCATGCGAAGAGAACTCAGTTCCAAAATAAGGTCTCCCTGTTGTCGCGTTTGCGGGCAGATGTCTCCGCCAAAGATAAGCCAGGAGCTCACTTGTGAGGGCGGGAGGAATGGCAGATTCACATTAGTGACATCAGCGTAATCGCCATCGTAACAACTACAAACAATCACAATTGTCCTGGCACTCAGGACGATAGCGCCAAACATCACCAAGCTTTGTCACACAAAATAAAGGTACAAGTGGCGCAGAAATGGAGCGGGGGCGAGTGTATCTTAGTCCAGATTCGTGCAGCGCCAGCCGTGAATCAGCAGGTGCCAGAGCTGCAGTCTAAGCAGTGATATGGCACCGTAAGCTCGCAACAACAGCTACATGCAGATTGGACAATGCCTCTTTGGCTTTTCACTGATACTCGTGGTTTCAGCAGGTTTGGCTTTAGGATAAGATCGGGATCGGCCGGTGTTCGCAGATAAGGGCATGGTATAATAAAGTACGGAGAAAACTGTCGTCACAGCGCTGTTGGCCGCAGAAGCTACAACCACTGTCTAGTCTGAATAGAAGGACAGCAAGAATAACACGGACAGGTCAAGTTTGTCGAATCCATTACTGAGCCTTTCATCAACCTCCAAAGGGCGCTTCAAGGCCCTCGAGCCCTCAGTGCGAATGCGCAAGTGCCTGTATACCCCCGGAATACTTGCAGGAAGGATGAGGACGACGTCATGGAGGTTTTGTAGCCATAGAGTAGCCATGCCAAACTCATAGTTGCCCTGATCTGGACAAGTTTCATGCTTGTCTCAGCATGAGCTGCAAGAGGAACGCAACAACACCACTCCACTACGCAGTGCAGATGTCGCACTTCGAGGCACTGGCATGAACTCGAGCATTGTTTTTGTTGCCAGTTGTCGTCGCGGATTGCCGTCGTTAGAGCGTGTGGCATGTTCCGATCATCTTTGCAACATGCTGGGTCACACATATGTTTAGGCAGGATTCTTCGGCGCATTTCAGTGGCGAAATCCCAGCCCAGATGGATCTAATTGACTAATTGTCAGTGCTGTGAGGGCATGTGCAGCTTGTGGAAAATTCCTAAACCCTAAACCCTAAACCCTAACGATTCTGGAGCCGCCTCTGCCCCCGCATTTACGGCTTCAATACGTAGGGTAACGAGCCGAGTGAACAACGGCAGCTACAAGTCAGGCCTATGTCGGACTTCTAAGCCCATATACGTTTAGGGTTTAGGGGGTTTAGGGTTTAGGGTTTAGGGCCCATATACCGCAAAGAGCTCTTCCATCCCTACCAGTCTGTTGCTCACCCTAAACCCCAAACCCCAAACATTATGTTCAGCCGAGCTCCGAGCAGGGTAGATTCACGGTTTAGGGTTTAGGGTTTAGGGTCTAGGGGTAGATGCATGTAGAAGTTAGCCTCAGCCGGCTTTTGCAACTGCACCTCGCACTGTAACAACGGTGCCCAGTGAAAACCTGAAATTCTGAGTCTCAAGAGCCGTAATAAGTTAATGTAGGGGCCTAAATAATTCCCAATATCAGTTTTGGGGGTACAGGGTAGAACAGAATCCCAAGCTCTATTCTAATTATTAAGGCCCTTAGATTATCGAATATTACAGACTCCCAAACTCTCAACTTCATGCACCCAAAGCCCGAAACACTCAACCAGACTGTGAAGCTGCTTCTCCACACCGGGGCGGCGGCCGACGTCCGCCTGTTGGAAGGTCCCTACAAAGGACGATGCTTCTACCAGCTTTTTGTCTATACCGTGTGAGGCTCTTTTGGGGGTGGTTCCTTATTGTGTCCAGCTCCTGTACCATGGATGAAGCACCCTGAAGCCTGAGATCAAGAACGCGTGCGGTTTTCGTGCCAATGGCCTTCAAGGAGCTACGCCGCTGGAGCTGGCAGCAGCCCTAATGCTGACATCATTCCCATGGCAAACGAGTGAACCTTCAATTATAGCTATAGTATATGCTATGGCATAGTATAATATGTTATAATATACTATAGTATATTAGTGAGTGACCCTGGAGCTCTCTCCAGCTCAGTGCAAAGTACGGAAAGCGTGGTTGAGTTTGAAGGCCGCAGACATGCACCGCAGCCAGCAATCGCCAAGCTCCGGGGAGGCTGCCGCAGAGGGAGGGCAGCCTGTCAACTATTCAAAATCAGCCCAAAGAGCACCAGTGCTGTGAAAGTTTCGGATAAGTTGCTACTGAAGCTTTTGAGAGGTGATCCCGAATGCCAGCTGTGATTGCAGTTTCGATGTGTAATGGCATCCGCAAACCGAATACTTGTCGGTTCCGACGATTGTTGACTGTCTCGGCTGTGGATTTTTGGAGTCTCCCCATGGAGCTTGCCCGAAGATCACCGTGGCGCTCCTGTGGCTCTTGGCTGCTCTGGGAGTCCTGGCGGACGCTGGCAGCTTCGGGGCTGGAGCGCCGGCAACTGACCGTGGTGAGTGTGAAAACTTGCCCTACGGCCCGATTAGGGGGCGATCTTCCGATCCCCTTCATCGGCACAGGGCTGGGTTCCCGGCTGGCAGCCGCTGGACGACCCAAAGCCATGCTGCCCATCGGCCTGGCGTCGTGGCGGCTGTCGCGCTGGTGTCCTTGTTAGCACCCACGGCATCCCAGGAATCCTCCAAGGCCCAGGCACGGCATCCGTGGAATCTTCGATACGGTCAAAAGAAGAAGACGACCGTCTCTTAGCCGTAGAGGCCGGCGGAGGCAAAGCATCCCAGGAGGAGGAGGAAGAGTTCGAGATGCAGCTGGGCCCAGTCAAGACCGCGGTATGTGCAGTTTACCATGTCCACAACAAGCTGGTTCTGACCTTTGGGTGAGCAAGGCGGCAACGGGGTTGGTGCAGAAGGCGGCCTCCCTCCTTGACACTTTCGCACTTCCTCCGAGGCGGGTCCTTTTGGAGAAGGCCAAGGGCTTCGTGGTGCCCAAGCTTGTGGCCCGGTGCACACAGTGCACTGCGCCACGAGCTTGGGCACGACGAAGACGAAGCCCTTGGCCTTCTCCACAGGACCCGCCGCGCTTGTGGACTGCTCTAATGACGACTTGCCGCAGACAATACTGGCAGTCATTGCCATGGTGGTATTCCAGCAGTACTCGGGGATATTGCTTTTGAACTTCAAAAGGAATGAAGCCTGCAAGTCACTCCTCAAAAAGGCCAGAGGCTCCATAAGAAGTGAAATGCAGGCTTCATTTCCTCCCCATACGAGGACTTGAGGATTCTGGAACTCTGGCATGTTGCTGAGAAGCTGCAATGAAGTGTGCCTTCAGGCCTTGTAGAGTAGAAGCCGTACAGATTCTTTTGTGGAATCCTGTCAAGTTCAAGTT